TTCGAATCTCCAACCACATCTTAATAAGCATGCGATCTAACCACCTAGGCCATTTCAAACTTATGCTATAGAAGATATATAAAATATATTATATTCTATTAAGTGACTTAATTGCTGATTCGGATTAGGAATCTGCACAACCATTAGATATGGATCTAGAGAATGACTAGTTACATTTGTGGATGCTCGTGGTTTAGGCAATAAAAATGAACGTTTGCGAATGTCAAAGAGGTTTAAATGCTCACTGATTTTGGCTTGAAATTCTCAGAATATTACGAACAAGAAATATTCATGAAACTTGAATCAAACCTATGCCTGCTCATGGAGCTCTATGCTAGCAACTAAGGCAACACAACTAGAAATAAAATGAGCTTGAACTTCAATCATCAAATAAGGGCCATGGGAAGGTGATACCTTACCGTTACGGTTGGTTTTCTGGTCCAAGAGGACACCAAGGGGCTGCACATTGAGGCCTAGAATGGCCTTGAGAAGCTCAAGCTGAAGGGAGTTCCATGGGCCTAAGATTGGTTCACCATAAAACAAACAACCCCCCCCCCCAAAAAAACGGGGGGGTGCCACTTCTCTATCTCCCCTTTTCTTCTCTCAACATGTAGGTTCTTGCTTGGTCTTTCTTAGTGTTTGAGATGTGTTGTTATGTAAGAGATGAGGGTTTATGAGACTTTCATTCAAGGAGAGAATGTGATAACCTTTTAACCTAGATTGGATGTGTGCCTTTGATGTGAGATATCTATGGTGTGGGAGAGACCATTATCCTAACCATATACTCATTCATCTATCATGATGAAGGGTGTTGATTTAACCACCTTACCCACTTGAAGCAAATACTAATTTCCAAATCTCCTCCACGTTAATATAATATTCAACTTTAAACATTCATTTAGGACCATTACAAAAGTACCCACCGAGTTTAAATGGGTAAGGGGAGAACAAAGGGAGTGGGGTGCGCCCCTATGTAACAACCCTTTCTCTCTATATAAGTTTGAAATTCAAGAATGGGCTATCACTTTCGAAAGGGTTATTTTCAACACTTGTGGGTCATACTTCACACACTTTTGTCATATGCTCACACATTCGACTAATGTGAGATCAACACACTATAAAACATCTTTTTGACCTCAAATCCTCATTGGAACAAAATTATAAAGATAATAAAAATGCCAAGTGTTATTGGCAATGCACACATGTGCACACTCACACACATGCCACAAATAAAAGACACTTAAAAACACAAATAAGGGCTCCAAACAAATAAGCCACGCTCAAACAAATAAGCCACTAACGAACACCCCACTACGTGGCATGCCCGTGTCACCTGCACATCATCGACACGTGTGGTGATGTGGCAACCATGTGCTGGTCACATGGCACAAATTGGCCACTTGGGTCGTGCCATATGTGTGGCATCCTTAAATGGAGTTTCTTAAATAGTTTCAAATATACTCCTTTTCTCAAATAAAAAATCTCAAAAAATCTCAAAAAAATTAGAAAAAATATTTCTCAGGGTTTGCTCATAAATTTATATCATTTATGACTAGATAAAATAGTTTGATGGAAATTAGGATCCTTTAAGAATTAGATTAGATAATAGGGTACTCCACTCGGCTAGTACCAGAAGCCTAAGTTATCTTTCTTGAGTCAACTCAACGAGACCCATGACCCATAATCTATAGCAGGGGCTCATGCTTGGCTCATCAAAGCTAACCCAACAAATGTCGAATCTCATAATCACAGTGGATTACAGGTGGACCCCCAAGGATTACACTTTTGTGGATGCAAGGGTACTCTCTGGTGCACACGTGCATTCCTCTTTCTCAATGGATCAAACAGAACGAGTGGCTTCCCATAATGCGAGTGTTCATGCACATGTTCTTAGATGGTTCAATGTCAAGGACTTGGCTTATGTCCTTCAAAAGCCATCCATCTTACACAGGGCTCACTTCATAATACTCGAGCCCGTAGGAATTCTACGATCTAAAAAACATGCCCTGGGAATAATGACTACGAGGCAATATAACTGACCCTAACTCATGCTAACCCTCAAACCTCTCTTGGTTAATCATCCCTTACACACTCACCTCACAATCCGGAGTTTTACAACCAAATCGAGATCCCATTTTGCAAAGATCTGGCTATTCGGGTTGTCCACATTCACTCCCACTGTGAATAAGGACAATAGGAATGTTGGTATTATGGCCTTTAAGGCCATAATCCCAACATTTGTCTCCACGAAGGGGTCTTTGTGGCTATATTTTGTGACCAAGGGTTGTAATTATGTTCTTTATTTAGAAAAAATTTAAGTTGCATGTCTTAGAGCTCAAGGCATCTATACACGACCAACACTTAGCACATAGAAGGAGTGGCTACATATGGGGTACATAGAGCTACAGTCAATGGGATCGTGGGCCAAGACATAGATCTGTGAGAATCGGAAGCAATGAAGAACCCCTTGAGGGAGATATCCATCATATCATTAATGAAGGGGAACTGGAAGAGGGTAGAATCTTCTTCAGCTGTGATGGTTTAAGTAAAACAATCCAAGCTGTCATAGAAGGTGATGGATTTGACTATGGAGGAGGCGGAGATCCAGATTGCTCGTCTTAGAGCCTGGGTGGCCGTACAGAAGTTGAAGGCTAAGGTCGATGCTCCTGTCCCAAGGAAGGATTAAGCCTTGCTTTTTAGGAATTGGGTCCTATAATATGATGGGTTTTTTCTTCTAATGAAGGTCCCTTCTAGAGGGCAAGATGATTAATTTTTCCTTTTAACTTTTCATTAAAAATGTTTTGAATGTTTACTTTGATTATTCTTGTGCCTTGATTTGGCTGAAATAGAATAAAGAAAGGTAGGAAAAGGAGTTGAAGTGGGACCAGGGAGGCGGTATGTCAGTTATGCAACATGTGATTCCCGCATCATACCATACGTCTCGTGGGACGCGAAATACGTCACGCACACAACACATGTTCTGCATGCGCTGCACTTCTAGCGCATTGTGAGTCCAGCGCCGTGCCATGCATGCTCTATTTAACTTCTATTGGCTTTTAGAAGCATCCTTGCCTCTTCCATACCTAAACCTAAAACCCTAAAAATGAAAAATTCATTTTAATTGCTAAATTTAAAGGACTCAGAAAACGTTCCTCATTTGCTAACTTTCTCTCAAAATTTTTTTTCCTCATTTGCCTTCTTAATAGCTTTGTCAAAAACCCACTTAAGAAAACTTTCTTTGTTTGCCCTAGTTCCAAATTACAAACCTCCCATTGTAATTAAGATCTCCCTTAATAACCCAACCTTAAAATCCAAAATATGAAAAAAAGGAAATGAAATTAAAGAAATATAAAAGAAACTAAGTGGGTACAAACATTTAAAACTCCCTTGAATCCAACTGCAAAAAACCAACCCAAGATGATTGTGTAAACTTAAGGAAATGAAACTGAAACCGACTCTACCCACCATCTCATTCCTCTGCATGCAATACGTGTCACGGTTCAGATGTACGTCCTAGATTGACCATCCCCTTTTGGTGCTCAGTTAGACACACTCTCAGGTATAAGTAGCCCTCCCTGAGTCAATTTTAGGAGACTCTTAGGACCTTTTGGGCTGGTTTGACCCTTTGAAATCTTTAACCCTCTTTTGGTATCTTGAACTGCTTCTCGAAACCCTATAAAACTTAACCGGAATCATGTGACCTCAATCTGTAAGTGGGTTGTGTGAGTGGAACTCTAAGGGGAAGGTGTATTTTGAAGTGGATTTGTCTCCACCATAGAGTCTTTGTGGTTGCCTTTTTATGAGTAAGAGTTGTAATTGTTTTGTTTGTTGAAAAATGTTTAAGTTGTATGCTCTAGAGCCCAAGGCCTCTTTAATAGAAACAACAAATCCACTTCAATGTACACTTTAGAAACTCTAGAAAGATCTCATGGTTAGTTCCTTTAGCATTCTACTTATACAACCTGCTTGAAGATTGACTACGATTATGAATTATATCGCCATCATAGAAAATTCAGCAACATACATACAATCCATGTGACATACACAACCACCAAAATCAAATTATAAAGTAAATGTCAATCTTCAAATTACATATATGAAACAGTATGTGTGCCAGGTGATCTCTTAAGCATGGGAAGCTATGTATAGCTTGATTTACCTGGCTCACCGCCACAGGATTTACGTACACACTATAATGATATCCTCTTTCCATAGTGTAAGATTTATGACACACATTTATCTATTTTTTTGGAAAAGCATATCATGGAGGTTCAATAACACATTTGACATATGAAATACTCAAGAGAAGAAGTAAGGGAATGATACAGTGATTGTGAATACAGATGGGTTCTGTGGTGATCTAGAGAGATTTAATTCATGCGTGTGGGAGAAAATTTTGTCATAGTTTCTTCTTGTAAAATGAAGGTTTGGGGACAGAAATAAGGCTCAAATTCCCACTAATATATGCTCTAAAATCTTAGAAAATATGATAAAGAAATACTCATGGAAAATAAAATCTAATCTATGCCAAATTATGGAGCACTATGCTAGAGATTGATGGAACAAAGCTAGGCATGAAATGAACTTGAAATCAACCGAGCAAGAGGCATTAAGGGACTGTTACCTTGCTGTTAAGTGGAGCTTTAGATGCCAAAAGGAACAATAAGTCAGTTGTTTTATATTTCACTGGGTTTTATTCAGAATTTTTTTACGCCGAGAATCCCTAGGTTTTGCATTTTCGTCCTTGATGATAAAGTGCAGTATGGTTTATCCATGCTCTCGTGTGCCTTGAAGGTGTCTTAAGGCTGTGTTCCTCATTTCTAGAGTCCTAAGCGTTGGATATTATGTTTCATTGAGCTTTTTATATGCAATTCTTGTCCTGCTAATGATTTTTTGCTATAAATTTCTTTTATGAAATTATGGTATGTTGGTTATTCTCAAAAAAAAAATCATGATATGTTGGTTCCAGCTAATTTACTTTGCTTTCACTCTTTCTGTAGGTGATGAATTTGGGTACTTCAATTGCAAAAGTGGGGTTCTTTGGGGAGACAAATCAAAAGCTCTGGTGCTTGACACATATAGAAACTCTTAGGTTGCAGTTTAACTTTAACTGAAAGTATTTAGTGATTCTCACAGACCCACTTGGCACCACTTGTTGCTCGTATTTATTTTTAATGTCATTATCTCTTGTTGGTGTCCATAGCTAATACCGAGAATCTTGTTATCGATCTGTTCCTGGTTAAAGATATTTTTTATGTTCAAATTTTGACACTAACACATTTTCTATTGCATAATCAATGCTTGTTTGTGTATTTAATTTTAAAAATTTGAATTATTCTTCTTTTTGTTGGAATATTATAGACATTTATGCAGAGCTGCTTGTATGGTTATCCTCAGATTTTTACTGCCTCTTCGGGGAAGTACAATTTATCCAAACACTCCTTCCTTTTTGATTACCAGTATTGTCAGCATCCCTCTTGGTTTTTCCAACTGAAATCCCCTTTTTGAGTACTTAATATTTTAATAAAATTAGTGAAATTTACATTACCCTTTCCTCCCCAAATACAAGAATACTCCATCATAACAAATCCCCATTAAGGTGCTATCATCTAAAAAGTACTAATTTGTTTCTCATGGAACCCCCAAAATGACTAAATAATGGTAATTCAGATAGAAAATACTGCTTCCTGTTTCCATTCCCACTGACTTCCTTTCCCTTCTCTATCTCCATCCACCCCACCCGAAACCCTTAGTGGACAGACTGAGAGATTTGGGGCTTCTGTTGCTCAAAGACTATGAGATCTTTCCAGGGCGAAGATGCTCTGTTATACACATCTCATTTCTACAATGCACCATTGAATTTTAAGGGAAACATGGAGAAAATGGCATATAAAGTGAGAGATAACTGGAGAGAGAGAGAGAGAGAGAGAGAGAGAGAGAGAGAGAGAGAGAGAGAGAGAGAGAGAGAGAGAGAGAGAGAGAGAGAGAGAGAGTAGAGAGAAGAGAGAGTAGAGAGTAGAGTAGAGGAGTAACGAACGAGTAAGTAACGAACGTAACGTAACGTAACGTAACGTAAGAACGTAACGGTAA